GCTGTCTCTGTTCCTTTGCACTGCTTCTCTCTGCCTCAAACACCTGTTCCTCTTTCTCCACCTCTTCTCAAATTCTTATGAATCATATTCTTTAGGAAGTGCCCCCTTGACTGTTAGCTTGTCCTCCTACATGCTCCATGGTCTCCTACGCTCATTCTTATCAGAGCACAGTAATAGCACATAATAGACCACTGGTATTTATTGAATGAGTGGTCACAGTTTCTAGGATGACCAACCACCCTGGTTTGCCTGTCTGGTTTTGTCTGTCTGGGACTGTCTGCTTTTAAAACTGAAATCCTCTGTCCCAAGAAATCCCTCTGTCCAAGTCAAACCTAGATGGTTGGTCACTGTAAACTGACATAACTCTTTTTTTTTACTAGCCAAATGAATAAATGGCAGAATGCCAATGTCAGAGCTAGTAACCTTCACCTTTTCCTGTGTGCATACGAGCTAAGAACATTCAGGATGTCTTGAGGATTCAGTTCTTTCCCTACACTCTTCACCCCTCATCAAATCGAAAATGCTATGGGCAAGACATTCTCATGACCTGGTCAGATTCCTGATCCAGCTGTTTTGCTCCATAATCCTAGAACAACACAGTTTCACTTTCTCAAACAGGATCTACCTGAACCATGGAACAAGAAAATGATTTGAATACTATTTTCTCATTTCTCTCCAGGTTGGCACATAACAAGTAACATTTTAGATGCATAGGAGAGAAGTTGATGCATACTGTCAATGTCTTATGGCTTCTTTCTTTCACCTGTTGAGAATCACATGGCCCCCCACAGTCAGGAATGCCACTGTGATTGTCTTCTGCCCTTGTTAGCACAGCTGGAGGGGGTGAGAAGCTGTGGAAAGGAAATGTCAAAGGATGGGGCTTGTGTTATCTGTGTTCTGCAAATTGAGGAAGTGAGGCCTGGAGAGGAAGTACATTCTCATTTTCCCAAGACGGACAAAGCTGTAAGATCTCAGAAGTCAGAAGGGGAAAACACACAATCAACCAACTCCTAGGCTTTTGCTTCTCAGCTGGCAATTGCCAAAGTCAGGCTGCATTATATGTCATCTTGTGGAAGACAAATGGCTCTATAAATAAATTCACTTGGAATGTTCTCAAATACACATAAACCACAGTCGCTTTAAATGTAAGTCTTGACTTTTTTCTCATTTTCTTTCTTCCCTTGGAGAGGTCAGCATGGAAGTCCTGCAAGAAAGGCCTGCAGAAATTCAACCTAAGAAACCAGGAAGAACTTTCCTGTATTCTCTTTGATAGACTATTTCATTACCAAACATTTGTTCAAAAGCTTCTTGCTTCAATACATGCACCTGTATATCAGACTTAAGCCCATGCTTGTTATAGATTCTACATCAATCCTTTTAAGAATTCATTTTCTAGAGGAGGTGATTATTCATTCTGCCAATCAATTTCCCATCATTAAAAATTACATATGTACAATTACTGCATACTGATCGGGTACTGCGTAAAGAGAAATACTTTTAGTGACTAAGCTGAAAGAAAAAGTTGTTGATGTTTCTTCCATCTGAGGGGGAATCAGAGACAAATGTCAGGAAGTACCTTGAAAAGACCTGGGAGCTACTGGAATGCAAAATAATGGCTTAAGTCTCTACTTTCAGGCCAGATTGTGAATCAGAGGTATCCTTGTTTAAATAACATTCTCAATGGCATTTCACTTGTGGGATTAAGTTAGTTATTCCTCCCCACCCCACCCCCACTGCCTGAGGCATAGTTAGTTACATAGTTACATTTACAAGGACGGTAGAAACACAGGGTCCTGAGGTTTATCTGAAAGGAAGGTCGCAGGGCTGCCAATGCTAATTAAAAGACCACTTACTTTATGTCTAATTTGCATGCCTGAAAGAAAGGGGATCCACCTGTGCCCTAGTAAAGCAAATACTTTTGATGGTATGAGAAAATGTCTAACTTGACTAAAGGAGGTTAAATTCCACAGAAGTGCAGAAAGCAGAGAACATCTTGGTCTTGCTGGGGAGAACTTTCTGGAGGGAACCTTACCTTCAGTAGGAGGTTACCTTACCTTTCGTCTTGGCTTGCTAAAAATGCTGTTTACTAGGTTTCAAGAGTCCACATGCCTGTGCTTTTTTCTAGGAAATTTTAAGGCCTTGACATGGCCTAAGATGATTCTTCCTGGGTAGTAGCTCTACCAACAATCTTCTTGAGGAACTGCGGGTTGAGCCTTAACCCTAGTTTTTTCTAATATCCCAGAACCCTCTCCTTCGCTTGGCTGGCTGTAGTAATGTCTCATTCCTGGCATCTCCTCCATAATGTGCTGTAATATCATGCCTCTGGGTCTTTCCTTTGTTCATTTTCTTCTGGAACTTGCTTCTTTCCTTCCTGCCTTTTGCTTTTTCCTAGCCATTTATTCTATCAGATTAAATTTAGGAATCATATTCTTTAGTATAACCCTTTTGGGAACCTTTGTGGAGAGCTAAGGTTCTCTCCTCTGTGCCTCAGCCCCTCTATTGTAACAATTACATTATATTCAAATTGAGTTGACACAGGTGTTCACTATCTGCTTGTTAAATATTCCAGGTTATGCACATACTTGCTTATTTTGGAGCTAAATTTTTGTGTTTGCCTGTGTGATAACATACATATAAAACTTACTATCCTAACCATTTTTAAGGGTGCAATGCAGTGATTAAACACATTCATAATGTTGTGCAACCATCTACACAACTCTTTTCACCTTATAGAACTGAAATTCTATACCCATTAAAGAAAAACTCCCCATTTTCTCTCCCCTCAACCCCTGGCAACCACCATTCTACCTTCTGTCTCTATGATTTTGACTATTCTTGGTATTTCATTCTTTGTCTTTCTGTGACTGGCTTATTTCATTTAGCATAATGTCTTCAAGGTCCATCCATGTTATACCATATTGTAGAATTTCCTTCCTTTTTAAGACTGAATAATATTCCATTGTAAGCACAAACCACATTTTGCTTATCCATTCATCCACTGATGGACACTTAGGTTGCTTCTGTTTTACCCACTGTTGATAATGCTGCTATGAATACATGTGTATCAATACTTCTTCAAGATTCTGTGTTCAATTCTTTTGGGTATATACTTAGAAGTGGAGTTGCTGGATCACATAGTAATTCTAATTTTAATTTTTTTGTTTTTTTTTTGAGAGGGCATCTCTCATATTTATTGATCATATGGTTGTTAACAATAATAAAATTCTGTATAGGGGACTCAATGCACAATCATTAATCAACCCAAGCCTAATTCTCGACAGTCTTCAATCTTCTGAAGCATAACGAACAAGTTTTTACATGGTGAACAAGTTCTTACATAGTGAATAAGTTCTTACATGGTGAACAGTGCAAGGGCAGTCATCACAGAAACTTTTGGTTTTGATCACGCATCATGAACTATACACAATCAGGTCAATTATGATTATTCGTTTGATTTTTATACTTGATTTATATGTGAATCCCACATTTCTCCCTTATTATTATTATTATTTTTATTTTTTAATAAAATGCTGAAGTGGTAGGTAGATGCAAGATAAAGGTAGAAAACATAGTTTAGTGCTGTAGGAGGGCAAATGTAGGTGATCAGGTGTGTGTCTATACACTAAGTATTAATCCAAGCTAGACAACAGCAACAAAACATCCACGATGCAGAAGATTTCTCTCAAAACAGGGGGCATGAGGTTCTAAGGCTCACCTCTGTTGACCCCCAATTTCTCACCTAATGGCCCCCCTGCGACTGTGCCTGTCTTAGGTTGTTCCTCCCTTGAGGAATCTTACTCATCTCTGGCTTAATTTTAATTTTTTAAGGGACTGCAGAATGTTATCCACAGTTGCCTGTACCATTTTACATTCCCATCAGTAGTACGTACACAAAGGTTCCAAATCCAAGGAGCTAACTTCTACTGTGTGGTTTTTAAAATGTCCATTTAAATCTCAGAGTTAAGAGATCCAAGGGAGCAAATTTGTTATGAGGGGAAGATAGATTTTATAATGATCGCTTGTGCCAGGTACTTAAACATTTTATATTATCTCTAATCATTATATAATACTAATTCTTACAATGATCTTTTGAGATACGTATTACATTTTACAAACGAGACTAAAGATTAAATGACTCATCCAAGGTCCTACATCTAAGAAAGTCCAGTGAAGACTCATACCCAGGTCTGCCTCCAGGCCAGAACCCTATTATTCCACAGTATTAAGGGGCTATTGGGGGTGACTAATACCACAGACTTCGGATATTGTGGGTTTTGAGTGACTTTTTTCTGGTAAATTACCCGTTAAGAAAGGCAAAGGTGAAGTATAAACGGAAGACGCTTTCAGATTAGTTTGTCTACCCTTACCCAGGTTTTCATGGGTTTTAGTGAGGTAGTGGAATGGAAGAATGTGTGGCCTCCACGAGGCTGAAACATGAGGCTGAGAGCCTCAGCGCGAGGTAGGGTTTCCTGGGGTCTGTCAAGTTCATCTTTCATCTGTTCAAGGTGTTTTCGTCTACCCCCATGCAAGAGGCGCGAAGTGTGAGAGCCTGGCAGTGCAGGATGGGTGGAGGAAGGAGTCTGTCCAGTAGAGCTCACGGAAAGCCACTCAGCCGCCAGGCGCAGTTACCAAGACAGCACCGCCAGAGGAGCAACGGCAGAAACCTCACCGTGTCCCGGCGGCGGCCGCCGCGAGCTCGAGTGACGCATTGCAGGTACAAACCAGCCAATCAGAGGCCAGCTCAACGACCGTCGGAGACGAGTCACCGCCACGGTACTCCTCCGCGCCGCAAAGTAGCGTCCCTCACGCGAGATTCCACCGGCCTGTAAACGGCTCACTGGAGAACGAAACCCGTTTGCACCGTCCGTCCGCTCACTTTCCTTTGTCTCTTGTGTCGTCGACTGAATAACAGTTTTAAAGAGGGATCTCGAGAAGAGTCTGAGAGGAGGGAGTTGGCCGGGACTCGTTTGTAATGTTCCGTTATCCAGCGTGCGGCGGAGGGATCTGGCGGAGGGAGGTGTTTATGAGGCGCTGGGGGCGGAGGAGGAGAATTAGTCCGAGTGGAGCGAGCGAGCCGAGTGGTTGTGTGTTCGCGTCTCGGAGACCGGTAGCGCTTGCAGCATGGTGAGTTCGTCGTTAAGCTGCCGGCGCTTGGTCTAAGGGGGGAGCCGACTGAAGCGAATTGCGTAAAGAAAGGGAACTCGCCTCCCCTACACCCGCCAAAGTGGTCTTTGCAAGAGGGATGGCGCGAAATAGACTGGGGGTCCCCGGTGGTTGTGTCGCAGGTGCTCCCCACCCCCATTCTCCTCAGGGAGGTGTCCCTAGGGTACTGGCGGCTACGAAGCTCGTCGGCCTTGGCTGGATGAGGATGGACCCGGGGCGGTGTGCACCCAGCACGTGGGGGAGGCGTGAAAGTGGACGGGGAGCAGGGAGCGTAAAAGCCACGGATCGGGCGTTTCGGAAGGTCACTCCCGGGCCGAATTCAAAAGCCCAACGGACGGTTAGTGCTGGCGCCAGGAAGCGCCTTTGTCCGTTCGCGGCTGCCCTGTGCCGAGGGGGCGGGAGGGAGCGCGTGAGGCCCAGGGCGAGCGCCAGCGCAGCCGTTAGCCCGCATCCCCCGCGTGCCCGGGCGGGGGGGGGCGCGTGCGGGCGCGGGGAGCGGCCGGGGCGGGGCCGGAGCTGGCGCCCGCTCGGCCGGGCTCGCGCCCCAGCTGCTGCGCTGGCACCTGCAGGGCTGCGGAGTTTCCGCGGCGCTGCGGGGCCGGCCAGTTGGGGGATGGATCGGGGGAGGGTGGCCTCTGCAGTTGCCCATCCCCCTCCGGTGGCGAGACGGAAGCTCGGTGAATCCTATCTTATACCCCATCGGGGCTTCGGGGCCGCCTTCGCCTACCGAGGCTGAGCATTAAATATTTTTGAAGTGGTTTTTGTCTTTGAAGGAAATGAGCTTTATTATACCTGAAGTTAGGCGAATCCTTGCGGGTATGCATCTTGGTGGAGAAAACCGCCAGCTCCAGCCAGGGTCTGAAAGGCATTTCCTAAAACACCGAAAGTAAGCTCCAGGGTGACTGCCCTTCTGTTGTGAAAGTCCGCTTCATCTCCATGTAATAACTGGAAGGATGCTCTTGAAAAAGGCCGCTGTCGTTATCCTATTGTACTCCCGCGCGCTCCTAATGTCGAAGAACCACTACCACAGACAGCATTTCACCCGATGCAGCCCCCCTTGAAATGACCGTTATTTCCGCAGATTGCCAGACCATATTACCGTGCAGTTAAGTTCACTGGTACAGTAATGGGTGTCAAATTAGTATTAGAATATGTTTTGGGGCAGGGAATTTTAGAAAGGAAAAAAGATTTTCTGTCACTTGAGACCGGAACTCCTATTCTTTCCTGTTTTTTTTTTTTTTTAATTCTAATGAGGGCAGTAATTTGCAATACTTATTTTGTGGTTCTTTCTGCCAAGTGGTTACAGCGATGGGTGTGTCCAGGAGGCAAGGTGACATCTTAAACAGGAGTTGGGAATCTTTGCCAACCGAAACCTCTAGCCTGTATGGGTATGGGGGGAGTTCACCTTGGATATATAACCAGTGTTCATTTAAGGTTGATGCACTTGTTCCATCTTGACATTTTAAGTTACCCTGAATTTAAGCATGCTAGTTGAATTTACTCATTTTAGGTGAAACAAGGATTACATGCATTATAAGCATGTAATCATTCTAAATTGTGGATAAAATTTTTTAAAGTTTTTAGTGAAGAGTAAGGTTTTTTCCTAATCAGTCTGATTGATAATTGAATGAAGAACTGTAGATTTTTGTGGTAATGCAGTTTGTTTATACGCTCTCCTAATAATTTGCCAGTGATAAGCTATTGTAGTTACTGTTTGCATCATTGATGGTTTGGGAGTTTTTGGTTAGTCATCATTAACTAACTTGGAAATTTTCCTCAGGTAACTTACAAGAACTGGAGATTTAAATTTAGGACTTAGTTGAAGAATAAAAATTTATTTGATATGAAAATGGAAGAAGATTGTTCACATAGATAGCTCTTGGGTTTTACATGTTGTCAGTGAAAGGGGGATTGCTTTTAAGACGACTTGAGACCGGAGTGATTAGTGATTAGATAAGTAGAAGAAATGAAGAGGTAGAAATTCTGTCCCTTGAGTCTAAATAAGTAATCGTTATAACATCATACTGCAAAGAGATATGTTAAGACTCAAGAAATTCACTGTGGCTCTATCAAAATGTAGAAAGTTCTAGATTCAGCTAGAATGATCACATTAGGTCTTTGGTAAAGGTCCTAATTTTTTTGAAGTAATTTATTCTAGTGGTTCCTCTTTTGGTCCAAGATGCTATAAGTACTACTCTATGAGAGTTAAGGTATCTCAACTCTACTGAAATAATTGAGACTGCTTTTGATAAAGGTAAAACATACTCTTAACATCTGGAATTGTAGAAAAAAATTGTTTCTGAGTAGCACTTGGAATAAATAGGAATGAATGAAAATGTTATGTTCCATCTCAAACCTATGTATTCACACATTCTGATAAGAATGATGTATTTTTACACCATCTTTTCACTAGATGAGCCCCAAGAGTATCCATACCTAGTTTTGAAAGGCCATTTAGGAAATCCTTAATAGGTACATAAAACATTCATTTCAGGTCACACATGTAGTCTAGATTAATGTATCTTTACAAAAGCTGTGTTTCCCCAGAATGATATTTTTGTTCAATAGGTCTGGGTGGAACCTGAGAGTATGTACTAATGCCTGGAAGCTTTCTCTGGAGTGACAAGAATTCTATCAATTGTAGAAATAAAGGAGTAAGAACTAGTATCTCTCTAGTGAATTATTCTTCACTTTACTGAGATAAACACGCATGTTAATGAGCTTGAGTTTTCCCAAAAGTATAATTCTTCTAGCTGAGAAAATGGCACTCCACATAGAGATAAGAACCCAGTTTATTTGCTTGTAGTTGGAAAAGGCTTACAAACTAGAGTGCTAGGGAGTCTTGAGTGCTTGCTTTTTTAGGCTTTAATCTGAATGCTGTTTACTTTAAAACCTCGAACTCTGGATTAGTAGTAAGTAAAAAAACGCAAGTTTCTTGAAACACTGCAAGCAGAATTGAGGAGCACTTTTAGGATAGGTGTGTAATTTTTAGTCCCTGTGTTCTTAGTTCATTCTTTGAAGCTCATTTGTGATCCTTCTAAGATTGGAGGTAGGGAGCTGGACAAGATGGTTGTGGGGCCATTAAATTTTGACCTACAAGTAAAAGTGGGTATTTATAAAGTTTTCTTGTATAGCTAACATCTTGTTTCTTCCTAGGCCTTCTTGGCTTTCATGGAAATTGAATGAGCCTTCCCCAACCCCACTCCCATCCCCAATATGTTGAGAGAACAAATGAACTCTCTCCCTTCCCCTTCCTGTACACAGCAACCATTCCTTCATCTTTCAAGCATTCTGTCATGCCTTCCACACATTTAGCTTAGCATTTTTTAGTCCGAAATTGGTTTCACCTGCCACATCTGTCCCTGGGTTGCATCTTTTGGTTTCAATTTATGGAAATATATTTTCTCAGCTTGAAGTTAACATGGAACATGGGAATTTTCTTGTAAAGAGCTTGATAATGCCATGCATGTTTTCTTTGTGAAAGTTGAACTAGTCAGGTTGATATTTTACATCAGAGATTCTTTGATAAGTTAATATATATATAATAATTATCACTGAACCTTTTGGGCGAGCTTCTCACTTATGCATAATAACCTTGCAAAGTAGGTATTAATAGTCTTGTGTTACAGATGAAGTTGACTATGAGAGGTTGAGTAACATGTCCAGGGTCATGTAGATCTTAAGGGGTAGCACTGGGATACTAGCCCAGCAATGACTCAAAACACCATGCTTTTTTCTCCAGCAGGGCATCATGTTACCCTTTATTCAGAAATCATGAAAATCCTACAGAATGGAATCACACTAGAAGTAAATCCTCAATAGCCTCAAACAAAGTAAACGTCAATTCAGTGGGTTTTAAATCTTACTAATACAATAAACAGTGTGGCTGATTTTATACCAAATACCTGGTGGAAGATTGGGATTTGTAAGGATAAAAGTAGATAGCTCTATGTTTTATAAGTTTGGATTTGAACTTGCTTACTAGCTCTTCAATGTTAAGTTACTGGGCCTTTGGCATTTTTTCTTTTTAAAAATAGAATTGATTTGAGTTTGCATTGAGGTCATATCAAAATTGATGAGCAGGGAAAAACTTATGTTTTCTGGGTTTTCTTACATTTTCTCATACTATCCCCTAGAGAAAATGTGGTTGCTGTTCTACATTAAGGTCTTATCCTTTCCTCGAGTGTATTCACTTAAAAAGAATGAAACCCAGGCACTGTTTATTTATTCTTTTCATACCAGTAAATGGATGGATTGGTCCTTGTATGATTGTGACTCCATGTGGATGGCAATATTAGATAGGAGGCCGTTTCTTGTCAGTGCTTCTCATTACCAAGTAAGCAGCTGCTTCATGGGTATATGTATCAATAAGCAGTGAAATGTCCAAAGATGAAGGCCACATAAAGGACGAAGAGAGAGCCCTTGGTATTTTCATGTGTCTATATATTATAGTGCTCTGAATTTAAAATTTAGAGGCATTGGTCTAATACCTTAGTGTTTAATCCTGACTTCAGTTAACTAACTTTGTACGCCCGCTCCCAGAAGTTAACGTGAGCTTCTCCTCATCTGTAAGATACATAATGATAGTGCCATTATAAGGTTATCATGAAGATTGAAAAGAACAACATACCTGATGAGTTTTAGCATATACCTGAACATTTTTTTAAAGCATAAACTATGTGCTAAAAAAAGAAATCACAAACCGTAGCCTCACTTGGGATTTCAAAAGTCAAGAGAAAATGGATGGCTAGGCTTAACATTTGGTAAATAACGTAGTTCAGATGTTGAGAGCCCTGGGTTCTCCACAGTGGCCTGACAGGTGCAGAGGGAAACCGTAGCTCTGATGTGGCCTCGGCCAGGATAGCTGGGATTTTCATCTGTGTAACGGGAGTTTGTTGCTGCTGCTTTTTTCATTCGGTTTTTTTAAGGTCTGGAAAATTACTTTCATGTCCAAATAATGTTTAACCATTTTTAGAAGTGATATTGACTGTAGTTCTTGGATATTATTTTTGGTTCAATTGAGATTTCTGGTAGTAATGATTTATGTCTACCAAAGGAGGTGAGCTTAAGTTTTAGGTATCCTAACATTGAAAAAGGATTACTGTTTTATTGAATTTTATCCTTGCTTTAGAAAATTAATAACTCAATTTAAGCTCTCTAGTATGCAAGATACGCTTTTTTTCAGTTTGTGAAATGTAGAGTTTGACGTGTATTCAAAATATTTTCATATCTGGGGACCAAGACAGCTTAGCTTTGAAGAGACTGTTTATTGCTGGTACTAAGAAATGTTGAACTAAATAAAGTTTATATTATATGGTGAACCTTCAAAGTTTTTTAACTTGTTTCTGTAACTGCTAATCTGTTGTATACTCTGAAGTCATTCACCAATCTCTGATCTCTTTGTAGGCTGACCAACTGACTGAAGAGCAGATTGCAGGTGAGAAATACTTTGCTAGATTGTCCCATTAGGTTGTACTAAAAATTGAATAGCCAACCTCAAAATAAAATATTTATATGGAAGAACTGACTGGTGTGTGTAGTAGATGGTAACAAATGGGTGTAATATAAAATAGTAGTTGAACTTGAGTTAAACTTGCCTTGTGAAAGATATGTGGGGCTACTTGTAATTAAAGACATATTTTTAGGTTATGTGGATATACTTTGGGATTTTCGTGATGGTAGTCTTTGTTTTTAAGATTATCTTATTCTAAAACCTGAGTTGTGGGCAGTTTTAAAACTAACTCCAAATAAGTTTCCAAAAGAGGGCCAAGCAGTAACTTGAAATGTAGAATCAGAAAAAACCTCTAATTTATCCCCCGTTTAAAGTAGCTAATATTTTAATCTTAGAATTGTATATGTAGTGAAGAATAACCATCTCTTTAGTGAAAAACTTAGATCAAAAAATTAGCATTCTGTTTGACTGCTATAGTGATTTGATTTTTGTCTTAAAAAGCAGTGACAGCTTTTGAAATGAGTTTCTTAAATCTCGTCTTTGGTTTGTTATGGAAATATGGGATGTTGTTACGTAAAACCTAATGTCATTGTTTTTATGCCATACCATTAAACATTAGTACTTCCGATTTTATTCTAGTACTTGAGGTGACTGGTTAACATCAAAATGTTGCTGCGGAAACTTTTTTTCTTTCAAGTGCATTTTTGAAATGCTTTTCAAACTCTATTCCTTTTATTATCATTAGAGACTTTTATTAAAACAAGCACCAAGTAGTTTGAACTGCCATAGTTTTCCTCCTAGGAAAGGAATTTGAAGTGCTCAGCAGCATTAACATACTTTTATTAATGATAGAGAAAACTGAGAAGCCTAGTTGGAACTCAACTAAAATAGCCCATTTAAAGTAAGCTCACCAGCCTCCCAGCACCCCCAAACACACAGATTTGGAGGAGCCAGAAATCACTAGTCTCTCCATATATTTGTCCCAAATATTATTTGATAGGACTTTATCAAGTAGAAAGCTATTAGCATTAAAGGCCAAATTTAAGCAGGTTTTGTTTTTACTTACTGTATGAATTTAAACTTGGGTTTTGTTCTCGTGTTAGTAAATTGGATGTACTGAGGGTGTTGAAGTAATCAGGCAGAGCTTTAGAAATATGTTTTTTGTACTATTCATTTATACTATTTTAAATGTATCCACGAAAAATAAATTACTCCAGAAGGGATTTTTAAATAATGTCTCCTTCAGGAACTGACTCAGGTTGACTAATATTGCCAGTTTCAAACTCTTCACTATCTTTTAATATAACATTCTGCCTTCAGTTTTTCAGTATTCCCAGTTAGGTGGTTTCCCGTACTGTACATACATGTTCACTTTAGGAGGGAAAAGTGTATTAAGGTGCTTTCCCATTGATGCTCATTCTGTCCTTTGAAACATACATAAAACTCTTAAAAAAGATAGTTTGTGTCTGTTAAATACAAGAGGATCAATACTGCATTTTTACAAAGAATACTTGTAGTTCACTGGAACATTGTCTTTAAGATAAATTCTGGTCTTTACATGACTTCCATCATATAATTATATTTCCAATAGGAGTAACAGAAGAGTCTATCTGGGTTCTCTCTCTACCCTCCATTTTCATTTTTCTAGGCTTAAAGCCATTACAGGCCCCAGATTATAGTGAACCTTTAGGGTAAAGGAGCCAAAGTTTTATGCTGTTAAAATAAAACTGAGATCAGGGACCTTGTATCCCCAGTGTATCCTATGTAGTAAGGGCTGAATATTGCCTGAATAGATAAATTTCATTTTCAAAAAAGTGTTCTAGAATACTATCTACCCTACCTCATCCTAAGAATTATTCTGTCTCTTCTAAAAGTTTCCTCCTCCTAAACTTGTTGTTTTGTCTACCTTTGAGGTGAACGCAGATTTATTTTTTTTATCAGGGAAATTGTAATTGTTGGTGACCAGGAACATTTTAGAGTCTCAAGACCTACTTGTTCCTACCAAAAAAAAAAAAGCTAAGCTTCATACATATAATGCAACATTGAACATACTAAGGTACTTCTAAAGCTATTTTTATCTTCATATAATACTACAGATTTGTTTAGCAATTCTAACAGTAATAACTTGGTCTAGAAGAAAAGTATGCTTGTGTAGGTTAAGTTATTAGAATTGTTTACACTATCTGGTCTTAAAGGGCACTCCAGAACAGTCTAGAGTGACATCAGTAACAAGTTACATTTGTTGATGACTCTGCCATGGCATTACTTGCTGGTGTTTGACATTTAGAAGACTAATAGGAGAAACATACAAGAACTTTTCTTTTTTTAAGAAATTAGTTGCTATGCCCTTCATTATATTTCCAAGGTCCAGTATAGGCATAAAACTTACTTGACAAAAAAATATTAGCCATACTCAGTTTATAACAATAATTACATAATGCCAACAAAAGTCTGATACATGACCTTTAAAGGATTATTAACAGTTTTCTATTAAATATAAGCTGGTAAACAAGCATTTAATTCAAGTCATTTGTAGGAATTAACATTCAGAATAATAATCTTCTATACATCATGGTTATACTGGTTCTAAAGTATAGGTGGTGACCTGTGAAGGCAGGTGAATCTAAATTTTACTCTTCAAGTTTATTCTTACTTAAAGGAGTATTTATAGGTACAGTTGACACTTGAACAGTATTTGAACTACATGGGTTCACTCAACAGGTTTTTTTCAATACGTAACATTGAAAGCTGTGGGATTTGTGACAATTTGAAAGGACATTTTGTACTTTATTGTAAGAATACAGTATATAGTACATATAACAAATACATGGTAACCATTAACTATGTTAATTGTAGGGCTTCTGGTCAGCAGTAGGCTATTAAGTCATTGTGGGGGTCACAGTTAATACGCAGATTTTTGACTGCATGAGGGGTGTGACCCAACCCCTGCATTGTTTTGAGGGTCGACTATTTCTGGCTCTGTAGTGTAAAAATACAAATAGAAATTGGGAATAAATCTTGATATTTAAATATTTTCACTTGTTCCTTTCTTGTATTTATAAATAGTAGTTAAAATATACAGTTTTATTCCCTGCTTTTCACTTATTCTAGCAAACCATTGAGTCACTATATTTTAAAACTTTTAGAACACACACATACATAAACTTATACCATGCTTTTTCTAGAATTTGGTTTTGAGTTAAATCATATAATAAAATGCTTATAGCTAGTTACACAATGGGGGTTTTGTACATAGTGGGGGTATTAAATGATACCTGTGGCTAAGTATTGAAGAGAGAATGTAATGGAAACAAATACAAATCTCTTAGTACTTTAATTTTCTTGTAGCCTGAGTTATTAGGTAGTAGATGCTATGTTCAAACCCTAATAGAATAAGAATTTCTAGATTTCTGTATTTCAGTTAAAAAAAACCTGGGTAAAATGGAAATACCTTCATCAAATTTTGCTTGTAGGATTTATTGATCTATTTTTGTCATTGGGTTAATTTAAGTTAGTATTGTATGTACTGTTTCACAAAAGCAATCAGTAGTTTGGTACTAAGCTTTCGATATTGAGTGAAATCCTCTGAAACAATATTTAAAGGGAGTGGAACTATCTTACTACTGAATGTGTCAAACTACAACTAGTCGGTGATACCTGGTCTAAAGCCAAGTGATAGAAGATTGTAAGCAGAAGAAAATAATGTACTGATTCAAAAAGGTAATAAGATCCAGATAGTTGTGTGGGTTATTTTAAAGAACTAGTAAGGAGCCTGTTGTAATGGTCTAGGCAAAAGTTGATGGGGCCATGGATAAAAAAAGTACTGGCTGAAGAGATGAGAAAAGAATCAGGCAGTATTTAAGTGGCAAAATTCAATACGACTTGTTGACATATTTCAAGGGGAAAGTTAAAATGCCTTTTGTTTGCATTCCTAGGGTTGCTGGAGAGTATAGAATTCATTTTCATAAGGTTTGCTTGAGATCAGCCAGGGGAGATGTCCTGTAGGAAGTCAGAAATAAAGGTATAGTAGTTGCTTATCTGCAGGGGAATATGTTCAAGACTCCCAAGTGGATGCCTGAAACCGCAGATAGTACCAAACCCTAACATGTACTGTTTTGCCCTATGCATAATAAACTTGTTATAAAGTAAAACTTATAAATTAGGCACAGTAATATGTACAATAACAAGAAAATAGAACAATTATAAAAAATTATGAATGTGGTCTCAAAGTTTGATGATGAGAGATGATAAAAACACCTGTGTGATGAGATGAAATAGGGTGAATGACGTAGGTATTGTGGTGTAGTATTAGGCTATTGTTGGCCTTCTGATGGTATGTCAGGAGGAGGATCATCTGCTTCTAGGCCACAGTTGACTGCCGGTAAACTGAAACTGGAAAGTGAAACCAAAGATGGGTGGTGGAATACTGTTGGGATAAATGAGAGATAAGTAGATGAAAGATAGGACGTCTTCATTTTAAGTGGGCATTGATGAAATGGCTGGGAGAAAAAAGGGTAAGGATCTTGGTTACAATATAAGAGACTAATAGGAGCAAGAGCCTTTGGCAGTGTAAGGTAGGAGGTAAATTAAGTTCTGTTGTGAAAGCAAGGAGGGATTTGAGTTTTTCATTGTGGTTTTGGGTGCTGTAGGGAAATGTCATCCTTTTCTTGACATTTATTAGGTACTTAATTGCCAGACATAGTTCTAAATACTTTATACTTAGTAAATAATTAAATTAAACTTAAGAAGGTAGGTAGTTATCCCTATTTAACAAAAATGAAGAAGTTGAAGCAGAAAAGGGTCAGTAATGTAAAACCTTTTGCCCAGCGATCCATTATTAGCAAGTGGCAGAGCTGGAGATTTTTAACCTAGATTGTTGAGTTCCAGAGGCTGCTTTTAGCTCCTATGTTGTATGGCTTCACATACTGGAACATACTTAGCTGGGTTGGGCAACTAGGCTGTTGGTCAACTTGGAATTTTCAGGTGATGAGCTGAAGCTGGAAGATATTTTAATAGTGGATTGATACCGAAGGAAATGGATATGAGTAATGGTGCCTTACAAAATTTGGGATGAGAGTAAGGGCAGGCACTTAAACGAAAATATAAAGGTTTGCATTTAGTTTTAGACTAAGAGACAGGGAGATATAATTTATATGTTAATACAAAATCAGTGGAAGAGTGAGTCCAGAGAAGAGATTATGACAGGATGAAACTGGGAAGTATATGAATTGGAACAGGGATGGAAAGGCAGGGAATAAATAACCTTGGACTCTAAGAGGAGGCACACCATTTCCTAAATGTGTGTCAGGTGTACGTTTTCAAATGTGTAGATATGTCAGGAGGTTAATGGTCTCGTGAACTTTGGAACATCTTTTGCATTTGCTGGTGCCGTCTAAAATCTTGTAGAAAGTACCTTACTCAGTACTAGCTCATTTATATGACCTCGGGCACAGCCAAATTTAATCTATGCTTTAGTTTATCTATAAAATAAATGGTGAAGCCAGGTATTCTGGACTACTGCTCCAACAGCTTTCCGTGAAGTCTAATGGTGAGTTAAAAGTAACATAATTTCCAAAAGATTATTTAAAGATCTTCAGCAATGTATTTTTCACTCTGTTACCAACTTGAAATTTTATATTCTAAAGAAAAGTCTAAATGATCTTTGTTTTCAGGAATAAAGCACTTAGCTAAACTGTCCATTCAAATCTTGATCATCCCATTGTTTAATACCATTATAGGTTATTTGGTTGTATAGTCCCTTCTGTCTTCCAAAAAGGAAATGAGCCTATTGTATATTCTGAAGCTTCGAATTGTTTTGTTTTTAATTTAGTGTGGGTGATCAAATAGATTTAACTTTTGAAATTAGTCTGAACATAATGTAAATATAAATAGTATAGCTGTTCTATAGAAGTATTTGGTACCAATAGTCTTTTTTCTTTATTCTGAATGTAGGTTAGACCTGTAATTTTGAATTGTGTTCCACAGAGCAGCTTTAATTAACAAAATTGAGAAGCCAGTCATTTGGGACTTGATTTTTCCTCTTCAGCCCAGAATAATTAAACTTTTACCTGGTCTAGGTATTGGAGTTTCTCTATAAGATTTTAGATGAAAAAATTCTCTGGTAGACCAGTATGAGCGTGTATACTGGTAGCTGAAGGTGTTTCAAATATCACAAGGTTTTCCCACTTAATCCTTTAGGAATCAAAATCGCATTTCAAGTGCTATCTTCATATATATCTTGGCTTCAAAGGTTGACTAATACATTTCATTTAGCAGGTAACTTTTTATTGTTAACCCGTGCATTTGGGTTGTGATCTTTCTTTAAAACAGAATTCAAAGAAGCTTTTTCACTATTTGACAAGGATGGTGATGGAACTATAACAACAAAGGAATTGGGAACTGTAATGAGGTCTCTTGGGCAGAATCCCACAGAAGCAGAATTACAGGACATGATTAATGAAGTAGATGCTGATGGTAAGTCTTAATTTTGGGATTGGTTAGGGGGATTCACATAGTATTTAAATTCTGTTGTAATATTTGAACTAAACAAACCATTTCAGGTAATGGCACAATTGACTTCCCGGAATTTCTGACAATGATGGCAAGAAAAATGAAAGACACAGACAGTGAAGAAGAAATTAGAGAAGCATTCCGTGTGTTTGATAAAGTAGGTATTCAAGGACTGGATTTGTTAAGTTTTAATATGAGGATGAAATGAAGATACCAAGACCTCTTATGCTTTAAAGACTTGTTTTTCTGGTGACTTAGCAACATACTTTAATATCAAGAATTAAGAATTACAGTATAAAACATTTCCAAATAACATACATGTTGCATTAATCTTGTGGCAAAGAAGGCATCATTTGACTTTGAAACTAAGAAAGAGTGATTTCAATGATAGGATATCCTGCTTGGTTCTCAGTGACATCTAATTTATAGGCCAATTATTTTTAGATTCTCTTCAGTTTGAATGGATTTTTAATATGTTTTTCTCCTTAATGTGAAGTTAATAAATTTGTTAAATTCCAATTCTAAGTGTATAATTTTACTTAAGACATTGTACTAATTTTTTTCTAGGATGGCAATGGTTATATTAGTGCAGCAGAGCTCCGCCATGTGATGACAAACCTTGGAGAGAAGTTAACGGATGAAGAGGTTGATGAGATGATCAGGGAAGCAGATATTGATGGTGATGGTCAAGTAAACTATGAAGGTAAGTCACTCTCACCACTTCATTCTGTGCTTTGATTAAATGAGTGGTACTTGTTAGGTACCTGATAGAACAAAGTTAGTGACTTGTTCCCCCCAAAATATAAATGCCAACACAGTTATTTATATTTGCTAACCTTTTGTTTATTCAGAGTGTTGCTATAGACTAGGACAACATCACTTACCTGAGAACTTCTTAGAACTATTTACTGTCAGGTCCTACTCTATACCTAGAATCTGCATTTTGGTAACATTTCTGGGTGATTCCGTATGCGCACTGAAGTTTGGGAAAGCACTATACTCTATGTTTTTGTATAACAATTACGGAACAGTTTTAAAAGTTTCAAACTGTTTTAAGTTCTTCAAAATGAAATTAAGGTGACTTCTAATTAGCTTTTGTCTCAAAACTGTTCATATGTGTTTTAATTATATATATATTAATTCAAGAGTATCGTGATACTAAATTCAGAGCAAGATGCTGTTTTTATAATTCATCTAAAGTACTAATTTTATTTTTACTTATTCATTAATCATAAATGTGGTTTATGAAGTTTCAGCCTTAGCTGGCAGTAAACTAGCTCTCCTCTGTACTTTAAGGTAATTGAGGAAAGAAAGTGCATTGAGACTACTCACTGATTAAGTGTAAGTGTGATTATTTTTGTCAGTCTTTTTGCCACTGACTCAACTTCTTGTATACTTCTTTTTCAGAGTTTGTACAAATGATGACAGCAAAGTGAAGACATTGTACAGAATGTGTTAAATTTCTTGTACAAAATTGTTTATTTGCCTTTTCTTCGTTTGTAACTTATCTGTAAAAGGTTTCCCCCTACTGTCAAAAAAAATATGCATGTATAGTAATTAGGACTTCATTCCTCCATGTTTTCTTCCCTTATCTTACTGTCATTGTCCTGAAACCTTATTTTAGAAAATTGATCAAGTAACATGTTGCATGTGGCTTACTCTGGATATATCTAAGCCCTTCTGCACATCTAAACTTAGATGGAGTTGGTCAAATGAGGGAACATCTGGGTTATGCCTTTTTTAAAGTAGTTTTATTTAGGAACTGTCAGCATGTTGTTGTTGAAGTGTGGAGTTATAACTCTGCGTGGGCTATGGACAGTCAACAATATGTACTTAAAAGTTGCACTATTGCAAAACGGGTGTATTATCCAGGTACTCGTACACTATTTTTTTGTACTGCTGGTCCTGTACCAGAAACATTTTCTTTTTATTGTTACTTGCTTTTTAAACTTTGTTTAGCCACTTAAAATCTGCTTATGGCACAATTTGCCTCAAATCCATTCCAAGTTGTATATTTGTTTTCCAATAAAAAAATTACAATTTACCCGACTGTTGCTCTGCATCTGAGTCATTTAATTACCTTGAGGTCGAATCATTTTTGAGTATCAAAGTGGAAGTGGTTTCTACGTGGTGTAATTCAGGTAAGTACTTTTGTATTAAAGATTGTGTTTTGCTTTTAAATTATACTACCTTAAAAAGATGTGAGAGATTAAAAAAACTTAAGTGTGCTTAGCATAGGAACTGTTCTAAGTAAGTGTTTAGTTTTCCTATCTTTAAACATATTTTTCAATTTTGGCATCTGTCCATATTCACTTACGCCATGTTGTGATTTTTTTTTAAGATGTCTTAAAATCACAATAGTGTGGGAGTGCTTTGGGGGTCATTATGCTTTTATGTCTATTTCCTACTGTTTTACTAATTGTGCTTTTTAATTCTTACACCATAATGCAGAGGAGAATTTTCAATTGTGCCTGCCTATCTGCACCATATTATGGCAGTAACTAAACCTTGCTTTAGTTTTTGTTTGCTTCTAAACCATTGCTTTCTCTATAATTTAAGCTACTCAAAAGGTGGTTATCAGGGTTTTTGTTTATGAAAGATTCCATAGCAAACCAGAACCAAGATAAAATGTATAAATGTTACCTGACTATTACAGCCACAAGGTTTTTAATATGGGTGTGGGGGGGTGTAATTTGTTTGGCAGAATACTACTTGTCTTTGACTATTTTAATACCACTGTTATTTTACCAGAAAATAGAAAATTAAGTGGTTAGTAAAGAAAAAGTGATAGTTTTAGAGAGGACAAGGGAAGTAAATAGGCATTGATAATCCTAAGGGGATATTAGACTATTATGTAATAACTAGGCAGGCAATCAAATAATATGACCTGCATTACATGTAAGACTTAAGTCAAAAAGGCCAAATGTATTAAGTGGAAGAAGATTCATGCTGCATTTGACTGTTACTACACAGTAATCTCCAGTGTATTAAAAGTAGAGGCTTTGGAGTTTTATTGCAACTGTTTGGATAACTGCTGTGACCTTGAAGAGGTCAGTATTATCTAAACCTCAAGTTACATTTCCTGCAAAATGGGTATAATATACACAGTTGGTTTCTAGGTTGGCTCTCACAATAATGAAGGTAAAGCACTTTAAGTAGTTGGTGCTTGGAATAAGTGTTGAATCCATGTTTCTATGCTGTTAAACCGGTTTAAGACCCTGTAAAATGAGGGACCTGGGCAAAGTTAATCTTTTCCAATTCCAGCAGTTTGGAGTTTTAAGTTGTTGGAAGGAGAAACATGAGGTACTTTTGTGTATCATGTTAATTGATTTGTAATCTTCACAAAAGTCACAAAGGCATTTTGATTTTACAGGAAATTGAAGTAAAGCAGTTTGCATGATTTAACTGGTCATATTGAGCACACACCAAGCTGTGTTCAAATTTCAGTTCTTCCTACAATGTAATTGTACTTCAACTTGGAACTAATTTTAAAACCTTGCAAATCTTACCCTTATTGCCTGTTTTATATTAGCAGGATCAGGTACTTGATAATTTTTTCCTCAGTAATGTCTGTAGCATGTTTGCTCTTACAATGAAAACCATTACTACTACAATTAAAGATGATGCTAAGATGTCTCAGAATATTTATTAAAGATCTGATGCATAGCAGAGGCACTGTTGAATTCTACTTGGTGTAGTCTTGTTCTCTATTAAAAAGAAATGCTGCCTCTTGAAAACTTAAGGTAACCTGAAAATAGATTTTAAGCTTTTTCTTGGTGTGTTGCATAAGACTGTTAAGAGGACATTTTGTTCATCCTACATGCTTATTAATCTGTTTTATTAGTAAAGTCCTTGAAATCACTGATCCATGCTGTTGCTGTTTTTGAGATAAACTTATTTTCTCATCTAAATGTTCCTTGTATTTAACACCTTGAATGGGTTTCTGGACTTCTCTGTACCCTTTAGTCTCTAGGGTACCAGTCCCTAGTCTGCTGAGCCAGTTCTACAGGCTCAGCCAAAATAAGAAAATGAAATGAGGGCCAGTGATGATGGACTTGATTAATCTCTCACATTTGTGAAAACTGGTTTTTACTTGCCTTTTGCCTTAGAATTTCAGTTGTTGATTTCAAACTTAGTTCCTGGTTGGATTTTTTCTCAGGCTATGTTAAATGAATTTAGAATCCCAGTATTTTAAGAAATTAAATGGAGTCCTCAAAGTTCTTGCTACTGAAGTCACCTACAGAATTACCTGAGAGTTTGTTAGAAATGTAGTCTTAGGTCCCACACCACATAACCTGAATAAATTTAGTTTAACAAGATCCTCAAAATGTTTTGTATGCACATTAATTTTGAAAAGTGTAGCTGTAGTCCATCCTTTGGTTTTATTTGTAGAGAGGAAAACTAGCAACTCATTTTTTTCAGTATGTTTAAAATTGTGGGGGGAATGATTTGTCAAAATGAATCCTCCAATAAAGACAAGCATGGAGTCCTTTGGGGTACAAGGGATTAGGCCTAAGAGGAGTTGACCCTTGAGGTTTGCCAGGCACGAGCTAATGCGGGGATACCACAGAATTTTGAAGATTCCATGTTTGGGGTTTGCAAGTATATATGAGACAAGGTTTTTAAATGAAGGAAAGGAGAGTAGATGGTGAATTTTGCTTTTGTCCTAAAGGCAAAGATAGTCGTGTTTAATGAATTGTGACAGTCATGGTTCCAAACATTCTACTCAATCATAATCACTTATGATGGGTAGATAATTTATCTTCTTTGTAGACACAGTAAATCATAGCAAATTCAGCCAGTGTTAAAATCCTGGTATTTAAGGGAGGTATTCAAGAATGATAGAATGGGATGATAAATGCAGCATGACAGGTGCAGGTCAAATTTGACAAGGTGAAAAATCCCCAATGGATTGACAATTGGATCACTGGCTAGTTAAGCAAGTCAATTCTAATTGAAAGTAGTGTGCACGTGTCATATTAAGATTTTAGAAAAGTATGGGAGGTGGTGAAAAACGAGTCCACATTACTCTTGAAAATTGTGAAAGGAAGCAGAAACTTCATGGTGTTGACAGTGGGGCGCTGGAGTCAGACCTGGATTTGAACTTGGGCTGCCACTTAAGTGTGATGCTGAATCAACTGCTAAACTGCCCAGGTGTGTCTGTTTCCTCCTCCAGAAATGGGATTGAATACCAATTTCTCAAGGTTGTAAGGATTAAATCTTAATTATGTGATGGATCTGGAACACATCAGGTACTCTGAAGGAATTAGGGTTGAGAGGAGGTTTGATTTTAAAGATGAGACTAGTTTGAGAAACTACAGCCAAGAGGTCGGAAGTGAAGAGAGTCTGTACAGAAAGGAAAGGGTGGTCTGTAGATTGAGCTAGTGAAGCCTGTCGTGTACTAAATCAAAGGTGAGAGACACCGAGAATGTACGTGTGGAGGAGCTTAAAGTCTTAGAAAGTGGGTGCTAAAGCTGATAAATGCGTTAAAGCTAAGTATGCCTACGAAATACACCGTCTCCCTGTGTGTGGGATGCGGGTGATGTGGAAGAGGGCTGGTGGGATTCGGATACGCCCAAGCCTTTACGAGCCGCCTTTAGAAGCCTCTCGGGCGTCTCCAGAGCCCTCCAGATTTGCTTACACACGTGCGCGTGGCCCTCTCGAGTGATTTCCTGTGCCCGAGGCTTCGCGCGTGGCCTCCTGCCCTGCACCTGCCCGCCCGCCCCGCTGCACCGTTGGAGGCGTTCTGGCGGGTCACCAGCGCACGGTCGGGGGCCGGCAGGCCCAAGGCGCCGCCTAGCAACCGGACGCCAGCCTCGGCCTGGGAAGCGAGACAGCCGCTACGGACGGGCCCGTCCCCGCCATGGCCGCCGCCGCCGCCGTAAGGGAAGCCCCGGGGCGAGGCGCTTCGGCGGGCTGGCCGCGGCTCCGCCGGCCTCCTGGGGCGCAACCCCTGCCGTGGCGCTCGCCCGGCTCCGCCGCCAGAAAGTTCCCCTCTGCTGCCCGGCGCCTGCGCCCTTCGGGCCTTCATCCCTGCCGTCTCACCGCCCGCACGCCTCCAGCTGTGGTCGTCTCTGCCTGATCGTCGAGTTCGACTTCATTTTATCTCCTCGTCCCCTGCTACTCCCTTATCCTTTCATTCGCCTTTCTTTTCTGTATATTTGTTTTTCCTTCTTCCCCATTACTAATTGCCCTGGACAACTGCTCTACTAGGGTGATTAGATTTCTTTCATTTTCCCTTCCATCTGCCCAGAGAACAGGTTTTCCCTCCCTTAGTCCGACACATTTTTGCCCTGCTTCCTATTTTAGTAGTTAGAAAATATTTGAAACTACCTTTGTTTAGTTTTAAATAAATTTAGGCAAGAGATGTTTAGCCTATCTTATCTAAAGCAACTCACCATGTAAGTGAATTCGTAGTGGTAGATGAGTGGAGTTTTAGATCACCTGCCTTGGGCAAAACGACAGCCAGTGAGTGACCTTCCTTTACATGTATCACGCTTACTTCTCCCTTCTTCCCACCTCCTTTTCCTGGTCCTGGTAGAGGTGGGACACCTGTCCTGACCTGCCAGAGAAACTTTGATTTATGTGACTAGATGTGCAACAGAAAAGATTTAACGGAAGTCTACTAAAGGGAGCGTATAGGAAGAAATTCAGACTTAACAATATGAATGAAACAATTGTTTTAGAGAAATGCACATATTTTACAGTAAAACTAAAGTTCAGGAGTACTCATTAAGTAGAGTGATTATGACGCTAGACAGGAAGAATGAATTATATCAGTTTTACTGACTAGATTATTTGTAATGCATTGTTGAGATGACCCCTATATCATAGTAGTAACAGCAATGAAAGTAGAACTTAATATTTTAATGATTTTACTAGTAAAAATAGCACAGAAGGAAAAAAAAAAACTACCTGTTCACAGGCAGAAGAAGCAAATATGGGATAATAATAAATGGGTATAGAGTACTTACTATGGAGGACAAGAGTGTCCTCAAACGGAGGAATGCCAATCATCTGCTAATAGTCAACTTGGCAGATGCGGTTTTAAAAATAAAAGCTACCATTTATTGAGCCCTGGCTGTGGTGCAAGGCTTTGTATGTACAATGCCTTTTTCTTATAGCAACCCTGTAGGGCCTTAAATCCTAAGAGGAAGCTGAGGCTCCTAAGGGCTAAGTAGCTTGCCTAGTGTCCCTAGCTAGTGAAAGTTGCAGAGCTGGTGCTCAAGCCCAAATATGTCTATCTCCTCTGTCATTCGGCCTCATCAGTGTCACAGCTAGCTGGACAAGCAGAGAGAACTGGCTGTACTATATTTATATGATACATATCTGATAGAGTATGTAAAGCCAGGAAAGGGCAGTTTTCAGCATTTGCCACATCATGAGGAATTTGTACCCCAATATCACATTAATTTGATGACTGTGCACTTTTCCCTTGAGCTCCCAGCACAGTCACTAGAGCCATAATAAATCTTATCAATTATCACAATACAATTTGGGATTTACACAACACTCCTCTTCCTAACAGCACCAAATTTTGTCACATCTGTTATCCTTACCACATCTCTGTGAATTGGGGATGTTTATTACTCTAATTTTCCCAAAAGGTATTTAGATATTTAAAAAGAACTTAAAGATCATGAAGTAGCAACTTAAGGAAATGTCACAGACAAAATTTATCATGAATTAGCTTTTAACTTAAGGCTGACCAATTTGGTGCAAGTGTTCATTTCTTCAAGTAGAAGTTTTTAATGGTAAAATAAAGGTTTTTATTATAATTTTTTTATTAAGGTATCATTGACATGCAATCTTATGGTTGGTTTCACATGAGCAACACTGTTATTACAACATTCACCTCTATTACCAAGTTGTCCCCTACACACCCCATTGCAGTCACTGTCCATCAGTGTAGTAAGATGCTATAGAGTCACTACTTGTCTTCTCTGTGCTGTACTACCTTCCTGTAAGCCCCCTACATTATGTGCGCTAATCATAATGCTCCTTAATCCTCTTCATCCTCCCTCCCCACCCTCCATCCCCAACCCTTTCCCTTTGGTAACCGCTAGTCCCTTCTTGGAGTCTATGAGTCTGCTGCTGTTTTGTTCCTTCAGTTTTGCTTTGTTGTTATACTCCACAAATAAGGGAAATCATTTGGTACTTGTTTCTGCTTGGCTTATTTCACTGAGCATAATACCCTCCAGCTCCATCCATGTTGTTGCAAATGGTAGGATTTGTTTTCTTCTTATGGCTGAATACTATTCCATTGTGTATATGTACCACATCTTTATCCATTCATCTACTGATGGACACTTAGGTTGCTTCTGTATCTTGGCTATTGTTAATAGTGCTGTGATAAACACGGGTGCATATGTCTCTTTGAATCTGTGATCTTGTATTCTTTGGGTAAATTCCTAGGAGTGAAATTACTGGGTCAAATGATATTTCTATTTTTAGTTTTTGAGGAACCTCCATACTGCTTTTCACAATGGTTGAACTAATTTACATTCCCACCAACAGTGTAGGAGGGTTCCCCTTTCTCCACATCCCCACCAGCATTTGTTGTTTGGATGTTACCCATCCTAACTGGTGTGAGGTGATATCTCACTGTGGTTTTAATTTGCATTTCCCTGATGATTAGCGACGTGGAACATCTTTTCATATGCCTGTTGGCCATCTGAATTTCTTCTTTGAGAAGTGTCTGTTCATATCAGCCCATTTTTTAATCGGGTTATTTGCTTTTGGGTGTTGAGGCATATGAGCTCTTTATATATTTTGGTTTTACCCCTTAATGGATATGTTGTTTATGAATATATTCTCCCTCAAGTAAAAGTTTTATAAATTACATTTAATTTCCAGGGATTACCACTTAAATAAATAAGCACATTTTACGTTTGTTACTAGAAACCAACCCGGAAGACATCATCTTTTGAAAGAGAAGGATGGTGGAGAATAGCATTAACAGTATGTACATTTTCATTCTTTCCTGTTCAAAATATTCCTATTTCCACTAATATTTTAATCAGTCTTACCTTTTAAGTTACGAACACTTAATTGTAAGAAAACAGTGGTTGTTCATATCTATAGGGGCCTAATTTCATATTTAAAAATTTCTTAACACTATATGAATGAGAAACTAAATTTTGAATGAATGCAGTAAAAGCTTGGAGAAGGAAAGCAACTCTAGGAAACTAGGTGCTTTATACAGGATGCAAAGCCGGAAGGGTGTTTGGGTTTCAGTTTTTATCTTACATAGATGGCATAGAGCCTGTGATGACTTTTGTTAACAAGGTTAATACGTGAAAGCAAGATGATAATATATGAAAGAAAAGAGGCATGATCCCCTTCTCAAGAGACATCATTTCTCTCTTTTCTATCCACACCCTTCAATAACAGAGGGTCCCATGGACCAGAGTTTTTCTTGGAATTGAACCAATTTTAAAGGTGGAACTGAGCTGAGTGCTCAGTGGAAAGATGGCCACAGAGCAGCAGTGACTAAACTTTCAGGTCTGGCCATCCAGCCACATTGTGGTTGTGATTTGAAGTACTAAACCTCTTATTGGATGCCCTGCCAATTCATCCTCAGTCTCATGTTATTATCCGTGAGCTTCCCACTTGAGAGCTAGAAAGAAACATGTAGTATCTGCTAAGCAGAAGTAGGATAATTTTTATTTAGTCCAGAAACAATCCTGAGTGGTCACACTAGAGGCCTGAAATGTATAGTCACACTGAATCTCAAATTTAAGTATCTCAGAAGCTACTGTTCAAAAAAGTAAAACTTCAACTATGGCCATAACTCATTTGCTATAATTTAGCAATTGTCTCAGAAAGGAAATAATCATGATTCCCTTAAAATATTGATAGAATTTTATTATACTTTAAAACAGAGAGAAATGCTACTTAGGAGTAACCCTTCCAAGAATGATGCTTTAGGAAATATTACCAGTTCACACACTGATCTGAAAAATGATGTCAATTTTCCACAGAATACTCCTATCCCTGGCACTTACCACTTGAAAACTTTTATTGAGGAATCCCTATTAAATCCAGTGGTAGCAACCTACAGTTTCAAAAATGAAGGAAGGAGAAAACCACCTCTTGTGCTAAGAAATGATCCAGTACTAAATGACGTTCCCCAGTATACGCCTCCTGACTTCTACGACTTGTTAAAGAAACAAGTGGCCACGTACTCATTTAAAGACAAACCACGACCAAGCCCCAACACACTGGTTTACAAAGATCAGGTAAAGTGCTATAGCGGGTTTTTGTGGGAAAGTGACCAAGAGTCCCTAGGGAAAATCTTTTATCTATTTAGAATGTGTCTTCCCCAGGAGAAACTGAAAATTTTTAGGATGGCTTCATTCCTAACAGATATCAACGGGCTGCCTAATTTGCAAATGTGTCCAGCAAGATTTTCCCCTGTGAGGCCTCCTAACCTAAAGGGAATGCATGGGAGACAGTTTTCCCTCTCCAGGGACTCTTGGCAGGGTTCCCTGGATTTGGGGAGCCTCTGAGGTCTTCTCTGTGACTGGGCAATGCTTGTGATCTCTTCAAACAGTTTATACAGTGTACCCTCTTCTTAAAGAGAAAACTGCCGCTGGTAAGTAGTGCCCTTATTAGAGTGTGACTATAATTCTATACCATAGAGAGGCTTTTTCAAAATGTTCTTGGAGAAATGAGCACTGTGGTACCAGGAGGGTCAGCTTCTACACTCAGCTTCACAGGTCTGTTCATAACTTTGATAATATAGAGCACTGCTATGCTTATAGCCCTGGGCTAGGTCGGGTGGAGAAGGGTGATCCTGACTCAGAACTCTCCAAGCAGCAGCAGGAGAACAAACATGTCAAGTGCTGAGCTACACAGTGTAGCAGGAAATGCTGGGCGAGAGTTCAGTGCAGGCTGGATTGAAAGGCTGGAAGGCTCCCTGGAGTAAGCAGGACTCAAGCAGGACCTTGAATAATACATGACATGCGTGTGGTTCTTAGAAGCTCACTGTGTACTTGCACATGTATGTTTTGAGTTATTCTTCCCAAGTATTCTAAAATAGGTGGGACATGTTATCCCCACTTTACATGGGTGAGAACTGAGTTAAACAGAGACTAAGTAACTTGTTCAGTGGCACGTAGCTAAGTAGGAGAGGCAGTGCTTTTAACTGAGGGCTTCTGAGCCCAAATTCAGTGCTCTTTCCAGGCTACTGTGTGCTTATGTACCTATGACCTTGAACCAGGGCAGAGTTTGGATGGGTGGAATCCAAGGAAGGTGTTTCAAGGGAGCGGCATAGCATTGGCCAAGGCCTGTTCAAGAGACAGGGTTGTGACTTGGACTTTGTGAGTTGGGACTTTAGGCTGTAATATCTCCCATTTATAAAGAAGCCAGTCATATGGTGTCATAAATCTTCACAAGCTTATCAGAGTATTCTTGTGATAACCTGAGAATACATGTGTTGCAACTGGAGGTTGAATTAAATACGAGAGGTTGTGGTTATGAGGATGGAGACCAGAAATATTCAGCAGGATGAGCACATGCATCCAACTTTTAAACCCTTCCTCCTGCTTTGCAAATTGTAACTTTGAAACAGGACAGAATGATAAATGTTCATTGGGTAAACTTCTGCTGTTCGCTTCAGTGGTTGAATACAAGCACTGAATTATACTTGGACTTTAATGACTTCATATCAGGTAACCATGCTGCAATATGAAATCCTTTTGGCCACCTCCAGTGCAAAGTCATCCTTCCTCATTCTCCACCACCATTTATTTTCCTTCTGTTTCCTCTCTTCTTGCTTTTTGGGGTTTTTGAGGGTAGACCAAAGCCCACTGTTTAAAGGAAAAAACATACAAGGTTGGGCAAAATTTAAAGCTTTGAAATACCGAAATAATTTGGCTTACCTGGAGGAGGTAGAACCTGAAAGCCTACTCCTCCCCCATTTCTTTCTTTTCCTTATTTCCCGAACTCCCTCAGGGGACTGAGTTCCTGAAACTGGAAGAGTTGAATGCTTTTCTGACTTTCTGTTTCAAAGGTATGTGCTAGTACATTCACAAGGGGAGAGAGATTCAGATGTAACATTGTTTACTCACCAGTAAAATTCATAGTTGTGTTTTTTTAATAGAACTCAGGAAAATAATAATTTGCCTTTGAGGTAGATACAGTATACATTATTGTTATTTATTAAGACAGAGCAACATTCTCAAGCTTCATAATTTTAATAGAATATTCACTTCCTGCCTTATTAGTGCTGCCTGTTATCTGTAAAAAAAGCTTTTACTTTTTTTTAACACCTTTATTCTGACACATGTAACTCACCTGGAGAACCAGTATCAAAGAATCTTATCAGATGTGTGTATTCAAATGTGTGTGTGCGCGTGTGCATGTGTATACTCATATGTCCAGCTCTTTCCTAGAGCATTTGAGATGGCCCTACAATTTGTACAATAATTTTTTTCTTATCAGAGAAGTAATACATTTTTACTGTAGATTATATGTAATTACAAAAGTGGGCCCAGTTCTCTTTATACACACAGCAGAATGATCTGCTTTATTCTCAGTGCTGCAGCCACACCCCTCCCCCACCCCGGGTTTCTCCTGCTCCTTTCTGGATGACTTGAGCTCCCTTTGCCCCCTGTCCCTCTTCCATTACTCCTGTCATAATTTCAGTATCATATATATGATCTTCCAAAAATCTGGCTTCTCAGTTTCTTGAACTGTCTGCTAGCTCAGCCACTTACTCCTTAGATTTTTTTTGAGACCCATCCTTTCAACCCTCTATAGTCTGAATCACGTTCATCCCACCTGGACCACCTTCTGCTAACCTTCTGCCTCACTCATTCTCACCTCCCAGTCCCAACCATTTTTCCCTCACCCCCAACCCATAATCCACTGATCCTACCACCTTTTCACTGCCCCTCAGCTTCCCGATGTTTTCTTTCCTTACAAAGCTTAAATTCCATAGTTAATTATTAGAGCGACTCTTGCACATGCCCTCAATTCCCTCACCCCTAATGGCGCATTGTACTTATTTGGCAAAGCCACAACCCTGGTTAAATCTCTCTCAGAACTTTATACCTGGATCCAATCAGCGGAATGATTGGTCTCGTGTTAAACTCTTCATCTCACATGGGCACTGAATGGACTTCCCTAGTCTGTTCCCACCCTCCTGGGTGCCTTTATCTCACATCTCCCCTCTTCCCAAAGCCCTGACACTGCCTCCTCAATCCTCATTCATGGGTCCTTTTCTCAGCCCTTTTGCTGGTTCGGCCCCCTCTCCCTGACCTCTTCCCAGGCACTCAGACCTCTTCCCCATCTACACACCCTCCCCTGGTCACCTCATTCCATTTCAAGGCTATGAACACCATCTATTTCTTTGTGACTTCCAAATTTATATCTCCTGCCCAGACTTCTCTCTTGGACTCCAGACTTGAACATCCAGCTGCCTTTTTTACTTTTTCATTGGTATGTTTAATTCGAAGTTTCTCAACTTTGGCACTTTTGGCATTTTGGACAGAATAATTCTTTGTTGTAGGGGGCTGTTCTGTGCTTTTTAAGATGCTTACCAGCGTTCCTGGATAATTCAATGCCATTAGCAATCCCCCCATCTCAACTGTAACAATGAAAATGGTCACCGGACATTGCCAAATGTCCACCAGGCGCATAAAAAAAAAAAAAAGCGCCTGCTTGAGAACCAGTGGGTTAAGGCTTTGTGATCATGGGTGCGAACTTGGGGTGGTTGTCAGGGTCAATAGGTTTGTTCTGAACTGGCTCACTTGTGACCCCATCTCTTACTACTTCCTCTCTCTCTCTTCCTCTCCCACTGACCTCCTGGCTGCTTCTGGAACTTGCCACTACCACTTCAGGGTCTTTGTACTGGGTTTCCTTCTTCTGGAATGCCCTTATTCCAGATACCTGCACAGTTCACTCCCTCTCCTTCTTCAAGTCTTGTTCAAGTGCCACTTTCTCGATGAGCCCTGTTTAAATTGGCCACCCGGCGCTCCTGACCTTCCCTACCCTGCTCTTTTTCTTTTTTTCCTTAGCACCTATAGCCATCAATAAACTATGTAATTTACTTGCACTTTGCGTTTATTATTAGTCGTCTATCTCCTCCCATGAGAGTGAAGCTTCATAGGAACATGAATATTTACCTGTTTTGTTCACTGTTACATCTTTGCCTCTGGAATAGTGTCTGAAGTTAGTATCTGTTGAATGCATGAATGAATTAATTATTGCTCAAGTACCTGAAATCTGCCTGCGTCTTACCCAATTTGTTTCCTTGTGTGTGTGATTATCTTTGTGTGCTGCTCATTGCTCCTGAAAATTTATTTTCATGAATTCCCCAAGTCTTAAAATGAAGGTGTTTGTCTTCAGAGAAGGTTTGCTTTTGGTTCTGTGAGACTTAGGGAAACAAACAGTCTGGTACCACTTGGAGTACATACTTTGTATTTGTGGATCAGTTCAGTATGGGGATTTGGACTGGAATCCACAAAAGGGACCAGCCCATGGTTACACTCACTCAAGGATGGGTTTCTTTCCCCTCTACCAATTCTGCTTAGTATCAGTCCCCTTACCCCTGGGGGGAGGGGGGAGGGCTTACTCTCAGAAAGTGCCCTTTAGGGGCTCCAGTTCCTGTGCGTAGGACTCCCACTAGATCACATCATTGATGGGTCCAGGCTTTGACCTGTGGATACCTCTGCAGCTCTGAGGTTCCTCAAACCCTCCCTACAGCTCTGTTCTGCTGAGTTTAGTCTGGGCTAGCAAACATCCTCTGGGCAAACCTGGCCACTCACCTCTCTGGCTTCTTGCTCTCTCTTGGTTGGGGGATTTTATAATTCCTTATGATCTTGTCAGCAATTTCATATCTTTAAAGAAAAGCATTCATTTGTTTTTAATATTTTATTCCTCATTTCTAGTAGTTTGCAGTGGGAAGATTTCACTATCAAAATAACTTCTGGTTTCAACCAGAGTTGAACTTCTGGTTGAAACCAGAAATTTTTTTAGTAATAAATTGTGAATCTTTTCCACACCTTCACGTATTTTGTACATCATTTTAAAGAGCTGCATAGTGTTCTACTGTATGGATGTATCTTAATATATTCAGCCATTTCCTGCTGCTTGTCATAGAGTGGAATTATTAGGGAACTGACACGTAGGCATGGGTGGCCAATTTAAACAGGGTTCATTGAGAAGGTGACACTTGAACAACAAAGACTTGAAGGAGAGGAAGTGAACTTGAAGGAGAGAGAGCATTCCAAAA